AGGGAGGAGGGGGCGAGGGTGGGCGGGATAATCTCACCAGCCGTTGACGGAATAGTTATTGCTGACTTTTGACACGTAAGCGCCACCGCCCTGGGACCCAAGACTAGATCTAGGATCCACTGGACTGGATCTCACTCACTCGCCTCTCGGCACCCGTAATTTTCTGATGCGGGGTGGGTCCCGCTTATCACAGATCTATTTGTAATGTTAGTCCAAAACATCCGTTCAAAAGTTTGGCAGCGTGTGGATTTGGGAGCGTCTGTGTTTTCTTTCATCACACGTTCTGGTAGGGGAGTGGGGGTTGTGATCCACAGTGTCTTTTGTTTACTTAGACCAGATGTCTCCCCACGCGCACCAATATGACTTTTCAATCATTTAAAAGAAATAATTGTTGAAATTTTTACCCAAAAATAAAAAAAAAAGCCTTGAACAAAAGGGTAACCCATCATCACAGCATGGGAAATGATTTCAAATGTTTATATTATTTTTCCACTTTTTTCTCTTTTTCGTAGTCCATTGATGGAAACGAGTCCCATCACTCGTTTTCACTTTTTTTTTTGGTTACATACGCTTATGTTTTTAATTGAAATGTTGGTCATGGGCCCTACTGGTTTATATAAATTGGTGCAGTGTTACCCAAATCCAGCTTAGCAAGCATGTGCCATGGACAGGCACTATTCATGGTTGTTGGCTAAGACCAATTTTGGTTTTGTGTATATATAGGCCAAGGTGTTCCACTATGGATCCATAAGCTTGATTGTGGAGCCATGCAGATCAGCCCATCTAAAGGCAATGGAGGTGGCCAAAGATGCCGGTGCATTGCTCTCCTACGACCCGAACCTGCGGCTGCCGCTGTGGCCGTCTGCGGAGGAGGCACGCAAGCAGATCATGAGCATATGGGAGAAGGCTGATGTGATCAAGGTTAGCGATGTGGAGCTTGAGTTCCTCACAGGTAGCCCTAAAATTGATGATGAGAATGCATTGACTCTGTGGAAGGACAACTTGAAGCTCCTCCTCGTCACTCTTGGTGAGAACGGTTGCAGATACTACACCAAGGTCAGTTCATTTTCATGTTCATCTCATCCAATACAATACAATACCGTTTCTTGCATCTTTGTATAGTTTTGAAAAAGATCCAAGGACCGCACACTGTCTTAACCAACTGACCTTACCAACATTATTCTGACTTTTTGTTGCTTTGGGCATTGGGGTTAGGTAGTGTTAGGTCATTCTCATGATTTCGGTTTGTGGACAAAGGAATTTGGATTAGTGGGACCCATATCTCAGTATTCCCTCCGTTAGTGGGACCCATATTATAATATATCTTGATCTTAAAGGAATCATATCGTGATCTATTGATTTGAATATTTTAAAAAAAAGAAAATAACAACAGAACCTTTTCAAAATAACAAATGAAATTGGAAAGTGGATTTGAGTTATTTGTTCTTTATTTTGGTGACAACTGTTGGAATTTAGTGTATGTTTTTATAGATAGGGGTTTGGAGGTATTGTATTCTCTTTAATGTGGGGGGGAGGATGGGCGTCAGGGTGGTTGAGTTTTATTTATTTATTTATTGCTTTTGTTTAATGGAATCTACGCATGGAGGGGGACTTAAGCATGATGCAAATCAACACTCCCTTGTAAATTAACTCAGTTGCAAATATGTGACATGTTAGTTAAGGTCTCATAACGCAGGCATTGCTGGTTTGCTCCAATTGATTGATTTTTTTTTTTTCTTTTCCGGGTCGATTGCTTTGATTGATTGTTGTTCTTTTCGTTTCGGTTTGATTAGTTTGATTGATTGTGTGCTTATGAAACAAATGCAGCATTTCCGGGGATCCGTGGAAGCCTTCCATGTGAAAGCAGTGGACACTACTGGTGCTGGTGATTCATTTGTGGGTGCTCTCCTTGCAAAGATTGTTGATGACCAATCTATTCTTGAAGTAAGTATTATTATTATCCTAAAAAAAAACAATAAATATTATGGATTTGATCCATATGCATGTTAGTGCTAGAAAGAAGAAAAACATAATGAATTATTTAATTTATGTGATTGAATGAATGTGCAGGATGAGCAGAGGTTGAGAGGGGTACTGAAATTTGCAAATGCATGTGGAGCCATTACAACCACCAAGAAGGGAGCAATCCCTGCCCTTCCCAGCGAGTCTGAAGCCTTCACCCTAATCAAGGAAGCTTAGAAGAAGAAGATCTCAAAACAAAAATACTTTTGCTCTCTTATTTTTTTTCTTCTTTTTAACTTTGTAGGACCTCTGTTTCAATTTCCTTTGCTTATTGATTGGAGAGGGGTTTTCCAACCTCTGTTTCTTTTTTCCTTATCTTTTTGCCTCTGCGTGTTATGATGGAAAATTGGCATCGCTGAATAAGTACATAATTTCCTCACACATTTTCAGTTTATTTAGTTTTTGGATGTTAGCTATTAGTATTATTTTATTATTCTATTTGTTATTATAAAAGTAATTTCCAAGAAAACTAAGTGGGTAGGAACTTAAAAAAAGTTCCAAAGTAGGTTTAGACTTGAGAAAACCAAAAGCTGCAATTAAAATTGAGAAGGGAATTTCTATATATCACACAACTTTCAATTTTTTTTTATTTACACAAGCGATATTCTACTTTAATCTAATTCGAGGGGGATTCGAACTCTGGTGCAGAGTGAGGAGCACATCTGTTCTAACCAACTTGGCTAACCCCATATCAGCATCCTACACCAAACTTTTATCCTATCCCAAAAAGTTCCCATTTACCCTATGAAAAAAGGTTACAAAAATAAGAGGTTTGGCCCTTTAGGGATTTAAAACAAAAGTGGGGTATAATGATCAACTGGTAATTGTGTACATACAATTTCCCATTTGAAAAGGGTACAGATTTATAATATAGGCCTTTGGATTGATGACTTTATGCATGCGGTTGCCTAGAGAAGCCCATGTTGCGCTCACTGTTCCACATAACATGGTCTTGCAAAGGAGCGGGGGCTCTCCTCCATGGCTGGAGAGGAGCCTCCTCATTTACTAACTTCAACACTTACGGGAACAAATTCTTGAAATTCAGGAAAATATAGCAGGGAGAGTTCCTTGCTAAGGAAAACCAAAAACCAAAAAAGAAAAAAAAAATCCTAACCAGAGAATCCGGAAGGCCATCTCTCGCCCTTACATTTATAAGCCGTAAGTTAGTCGAACAAAAACCACAATGCGTTTTAAAACCGTTCAACCATGTCTATAGTAAAGTGCTTTTCTGAATCTTCAAGCCTGCAAAATCTTCATTATAAAAAATATGGCCAATATCACATAGAACTAAAAGTTAGCAGGAAAATTGATTGATAATAAATATCTCTTATGTCATTAGCTAATTTAGCTTTCACAAATCATGGCGAATATCCATAAAACTATATTATTTAGTCTGGCTGTACATGATGCATACAAAAAATGTTCTTTTACATTACTCTGCAACCACATTACCATTGCAAAGAGCCGTGCAAAAAAGCAAATTAAACCTTGAAAATACCAAGTTATCAAGAACTTCGGCCAACATCATGCTAAACTAACAACACTACTTACATACATAATCAAAATATTTGCAAAAACAATTTCAGCTCCGTGAAGAAACAAGAAACATTTTATTGAAGCTCAAGAGTCGACAAGCGAAGATGACCCCACTAAAAAAAACAAAGAAAAAACAAATTATGTGGAGCAAGCATTCAACAATGTGCTCGACCACGCTTTGCAATCATGCAAATTTAATGCATTTTTGGGGCCAAGAAACACTAAGGGATTTTATGTCAGCTTTGCATGGTAATGCAAAAAGACAAGCAAGGCCAAGTGGAACACTGCTTACAACTAATTTGAACTATGTACAATGACTACTAATCTAAACTACTACCAACCTCTTTTTTTACCCGTGATTTCCATCTGACAGATTTTCTGCTTGCATTTGGGGCAAGCCAATAGTATCAATCAACATTATCCTCTCTTCCTCTTTTAGTTGTTCCCTATTAAGTTTTTCCCACTTATTTGAAATAAGCTCTTGATCTTGAGATACCTTCAACGATGCTTCTCGTTTCACTTATGTTCCACTTCTTTTTCTCTATTCTAAATTCTTGGAAGACAACCTTGCAGGCACAGTCGAATTGTCTTGAACGTAATCAATCTTTTTCCTTAAAAAATTCTTTGCGACCATTCTGTCTACTGGCCTTTCCAAGCTGATAGATGTATCACTTGCAACATCATCTTCCCTTAAACTTACTGAATCCGGAGAAGGAGATGACATTCCCAGACTCGCACTTTTTCTATATTTGGCTTTTTCTTCAAACTAGTCACCATACATTTCTTATTGTGTTTCAGTACTTGCCCAACAGTGTAGAAATTGAAATGCGGTCATCTCCATCGGCGGTATTATCTGGAAAAGTACATAAAATAAATAATTCGAAAATCTGAAAAGTGAAACTATAAAGATAAAAACGTATTAAATATTATTACCCTATTTGATCGTTGACACCACTTTGTTTCATTGCTTTAATCTGGGCATAGTACCCACAAAAATAATGCACTGCAAATTGCATGGCTGAGCAACAGTCCATTAGAGAATCAGCAAAACGCTCAAAAGTAAATTTCTTTCCCTTGTTGAAATACTCCCATATTCTTTTCCAATACCCACTACTTTTTTGCTCATCTCCATTATCTGCATCTAAGCAAACATTGAGCCAAACAGACACAAGTGTCTTCATCGATTGACAAGTTACGAGATCGTTGTTCCATTTTGATGGATTCTATTTGAGCAGGATTTTGAGATGATAGAAGAGATTCATTGGAAGATTTATCAATCGACATGTAGCGTTGAAAAGGTATCACTAGGGACTGCATCGCTGGTATTCTCTGTGGTCATTATGCCTATTGGTCTCTACAGGCTAATAGATTAATCACTTGCAACATCATCTTCCCTAAAATTTATTGAGTCTGGAGTAGAAGGAGAAGTTGTAGGACTTACAATTTTACTTATTTTGGACATCTGTTTTTTCGGAAGTGTCCACCATACACATTGTATTGTCCTTCAATACTTCTTAAGAGTTAAGGGAAAACACTAATAAGAAATTGCATCTAAAGGTGGATGGAGAAAAAAAAAATCCGTACAAGTAA